CTCATCATGTTTTTATCCCACCCTCCTTCCGGGAGTTCAGGATGGCCTATATGGTCCTCCCCTTTTATCCTTACAACGACCCTATGCTGAGGCAGGCAAGGCTGAGAAACAGCGGGCGTCACCCCATGTGCTTCGCGGCAGAGTGGGAATTTGAACCCAGGCCTCCCCCATCCCAGCCTTATGTGTGAACCATTTCATTTAGAAAAATTTATATGCTGCCTTTGTAGGAACCTGCTCAAGGTGACTTGCAAAAAACACACACAATAAAACCACTGGAACAACAGCATTAAAATACAACCCATTGATAGAAGCCAGAGCACCAGAGCATTGTAAACCACGGAAGCTCTCGGCTCCTGATTCCGAGAGCGGCTCGTTTCCTCATAGGGACTGCCACATCAAGTGGTGTGACCTATGCGTGTGAATGGGCCACCGCCAGTCTTTCATCCCAGCTCAGCTACAATGTTTTTTTGCAGGGCACATACTGGGATGTCAACATGTCTGCTTCCACCTACTTATCAAGTGAGTCATTGTTACTGCGAAAGCCTTTTGTGACTTATAAACCTCTACAGTGTCGAGAGCTTTGAATGCGTATCGCTGGGAATAAGGGTGGAAATCACTTCTGGGGGCGGGCAGGAGAACCATTTCCCTACCTGCAACTTCCCATCCCTCTCCATTGTTTTTATCACTGTGCACTGGACCTCCTGAAAGCCCCTGGCATTTTTGGCCACTGTGTGACCGAGGGTTGGACTGGATGGGCCACTGGCCTGATCCAACATTGGCTTCTCTGATGTTCTTATCAGGTGTGAAAAATATCTAAGGCTGGCACTGCCCCTCTGCAAACAAGCACCATGCCTCTACTGAGTGACAGCTGCAAAAACAGAATTGCCAGCCTCCAGGTGGTCAAACAACAAATATATACACTGCAAAAACCTTATTTATAAGTTAAAGTGTACTATATGTTCCATCTTATAAAGTGCATTGTGTATTATTCATAATATTCTAAAACAGGAATGTATTCATTACATGCAATATCAACAATAATAATCAGTTTGTACAATCTAATAGCTACTAGTCAATTTACATCCTTTTTACACAATCAACCCCAACGGGAGTTTCTAGAATTGTACACTCTCTTCTCCTTGCTTGAAAGTGTAGTATGAATGGGAATATAAAGATTTTTTTATATATGGGTGTTTTTCTTCTTGATTGTTCCAATTCATATTTCTCTGGTTTTTATAGATTTATTCTTTAAGTAATATTTTATTAGGATGTTAGAAAGGCCTGTTATATAGAAGGCTTTCCTCTTGTAGGTCTGATATTGTTAGCAGACAACATAATAGGTACAAAGTTCATGATTCTGTAGTTCTTAGGGCAAACCTTTCAATGTCTGGGTCAGATAAGATTTTAGTCTCGTATGAAGAATCCTTGCCCATTATCATTTAGATTAGGTTAATTAAACACGTAGGTTTTACTTAGTTTGACGTAGATATATGTTTCTTTATATCTGGCCAATCAGAGGATTATTACTCAAATTACCACTGTCTTTTGTAACCAATTATGTTTTTTTGAATATTGTTTTCTTGGTGATGTCGGTCCATGTATAAAATGTTGTGTATTTCCTGAATATGTTCAGAATAGGTTCAAGAAGAAGATAAAGAAGAAAAAGAAGAAAGTTGTCAATTTTTGATGAGTTAATTGGTCTCCAATTTATTTTCCTGTTAATTGAAGCATATTTCCTGAATATTCTGAGAAGAAAGTAGTCAATTTTGGATGGACTATTTGGTCCAACTGTTTTCTTGTTAATTGAAATAAAACATAGATCTTCCTCCTCATTTGACTTCATTTTTGACATGGAATCTAATATGTACAACAAAAGTCTTCTAAAGCATTGTGGTTACATTGAAGTATAAATTGATGTTTGTTGCTGGTCCTACAAAAGGCCCGTTAAGCAGCTGACAATCATAGACGGAGCGCTCCCGTCTTTCTCCTTTCTACAATTCTAGAAACTCCCGTTGGGGTTGATTGTGTAAAAAGGATGTAAATTGACTGGTAGCTATTAGATTGTACAGACTGATTATTATTGTTGATATAGCATGTAATAAATATATACCTGTTTTAGAATATGATGAATAATACACAATGCACTTTATATAGAACACTTTAACCACACCCTCCTCAGGCTCCACCCCCAAAATCTCCAGGTATTTCCCAATCCAGAGGTGGCAACCCTATCGAAGAAGACTGTGTTCTCCTCAATACAAGGTTAGTTTTGTTACTGGATTGCTTATGCTGGCCGAAATGCAGTGGCTGTCTCTGAAGGTATGAGGGAAGATTCTATAGTTCTTTGTGTTGAGACAAAGCTTGGAGGAAATGCGATAGTTGTCTGTACTGCTGGTGTTTTACCTGAGATGGCCAATGGCCATGATTTTTGGTATGTGCAATCAGTTTTGATTCAGAGGGTTCAATGCGCTGTCTTTTTAAACTGCCAGAAAAGCAAAATGATACGCAAGTACATAAAAACGCTCCTTCATGAGATGAAAGCGGAATTTGGCTGATGGAAGGAAAGAAGGGAAAAGTTGTCCCGAGACACGTACTGCTGAATTTAAGGCTCCTGATATACTTATTGACCTTCAATGCCCATATCATGGACCACCTTCGAACGGGTTCATAGGTTACAAAGAGATGACCTGTGGAATCAAGTTCCTGGATGCTTTTAGGGGAGGGGAGCAGATTCTATTCTTTCTTTTTTTTTTGCAAATAATTTTTTATTACATTTTTTCAATAATAACATTAACAAAACGTTCAACAATATACTATTATACAATCTCATCACTTATAACATTAACTTTCAATAAAATGCAAAATCCTTATATTTATGTGGCAATCTAAAGGTTTGTGGGTTAGTTACAGTAATATACTGAAAGAAACAAAACCATTTTTCCACAAAATTATTCTGACCATTTGGATTATCCAAGGCAGTCAATTGCATCGCAATTTTGTCCGAAATAATTATATCCCATACTTTAGTTTTCCATTGCGATATAGTTGGTACTCTCCTGTCTTTCCAAACTTGTGCAAGTAATATCTTAGCTGCCATTAAAAGCATTGTAATAATCTCTTCTTTATATTTAGTAGTTTTTAAGTCCGGCCAAAAATGTAATATTATTGATGCCGGCGTGTTAGGAATTTCCAATTCTGTTATTGTTGCAGATTCTATTCTTATGTGGTCACTAGAAGTGACCAAAGCTGGGACTCACTCATCTTGTTTCTTCCTAGGCAGGGAAACTAGTGCCTGAAACCCTCTTCCTTTCCCATTGCTTGTCAGAGCCGGTCTGGGAGGCGTCTAGGGAAGGACAGAGGAAAGAGGCAAAGCAGTCCTTGGTTCTGACTGTTGTTGTTGTTGTTGTTGTTCAGTCGGCTATATGGGAAATATGGATGCAGTTCCTGTTTAAATCTTGACCCGCTCCAGGGGAGAAAAAAGGAGAGAGATAGCCAGTTTTGTTTCAAATTTGTGCCTGGGGAATGAACGCCAAAGCGGTATTTTTCACTGAAGTTTCAAGGCAGAACAAAATGAGTAGGTTTGCCTTGTTCTTTTTAAAAGATGTCAAAACATGCACTTATGTGGTACTTAGCATTGAAATTATGAGTCAGCCACACTGGTCTGCACATTTAATGGCGTACAGCCTGCTGGTTGTGGCTCTTCTTTCTCTTTAAACCAATACTTGGTTCTAAGGGTGACATTTTTTTTGCCTTGTGAATAAAACAGTTTCAAAGGCAGTGTAGTTAATGGGGAAGCCAAGACTTGCTGCTTCCTAAGATTTGCTGCACCAGCATCAACAGATAAAGAAGCCAATTCATGGTGCAAACAAACGGGCATGGGTAGAATCAAGCTTCCTGATACATCGGCCAGCAGTAAGGTCAGGGGATTCTTTGCGTTACTAAGAATAGTCTGATCGGCAGCGTAGGGATAGAGATGTAAAATTGCAGAAAACTTTGAAGCCACGAGGGGAAAAAAAACCACATTTTTTTGGGGGGGAGGGGACGACCAGAAATTTTGAGGAA